ACAAACTATATAAACCTCTCAAATAGGTCTGGAGCTATTTTCACCTCTCGTAAAATCTTATCTCCTCTTCGCACGGGATTTTGTTTTGCAAAAAATGAGGGATGATCACGAATTGAATTAACAATATTTGTTATGAATGTAATGCTATGAATATGAATGTAAGTATTTTGTATGTTCTTTCCATCCTCTAAAAAAAAAATTTTTTTTTTTTTAGATTATTTGCAAACAATTTTCTGCAACATTGTTAATCGAATAATAAATTAATAATAGTTTTATATAAGTCAAGAGAACAAAATTCGTTATTGAAAGAAAGTGAATATTTTTCTCTACGTTAATAATTTCAATTGTCGGTAATAAGAAATTCGTACTATTCGTGTATAAAATTGTCGGCAATTTTATTCCAGACATTATTCTAGAGAATATTGTCCTCGAAGTCCCTCACGTTAAAGACACACAAGGAATTTATTTTATATCATTTACAAAAACAAAACAAATACTATCTAGGAAATAAAATTAAGAAATTCGCACTATACTGAATAAAAACCCTAAAAATTGCTCCTTAGAACAATTTCAAGTGCACAAAATTGTTCTTAATTAATATTACATGCATAAATTATGTTATCAAAAATTTATTTTTCAAAATTGATTCTTTAAATTACAAAGAAGACGCTCTTTATTAATTTCAAATCTGAAGCAAAAAAAAAAAGAATAAGTAAATAAAGAGGAGGATTGAGACTTTCTTATGTAAGAGTCTGAAGGGGTTTCAGGGTTCCCACTCTATGATGAGATTGAAATTCAAGGACTTTCCAGGACTTTTCAAGGACCTCAACAAAATTTTCAAGGACCTTAATCTAAGACCAATTTTAAAAATTATTCTCTTCTATTTTACTAGAAGCAACAATGCTTGTTGTGGCAATAATTAATTTCAAATATAATACCTAAATGCTTTGCCTATATAGAGAGAAGAGAGTATATGTATTATGGACTAAAATTTATATTTTTTTAAAAACAACCCTACTGGTTTTACATATTAATTCACAAAATCATTTTCAGCACAATCTATAACTAATGGTAATGAGGTGTTAATGGTGAAATCCTTTAATCCTGTGTATTTCCATGTGAAGGCTGCATGAAAGACAGAGCTAAATCTTAGGTATTCCATATTCCATGACTATTCCATAACCCCCTCCTCTCCTCTATTAAACATCGTTTCTGAAATTATTCATCCATAATTTACACAACCTTCTCTAAATGTTATGCAGCAACAATTCTTTCTGAAAATAAAAATTAGAAGGAACATATCCCATTTTCACCATGTTTAAAAGCATTATTCGTTATGTGTAATCCACAACTGCCAATGAATATGACCTGGTGGGAATATTTCTCTTTTAATTCACACTGAAGCTTCTAATAGAATTTCCAATTGACATAGGGTCCATCCATGGATAATTGAAGTATTTTAGAGAGCTTTTAACCATCATCCATGCATTTGTAAAAAGAGGACAAAATATTTTCTGCAGTTCCATGACCCATAAATTGGGAGGTAAGATACTTAGTGCAAACTTTATTATCAATTCCTTACCATAATGTCCATCTGCTTAGATTGTAGAGACTGATTTAACGTCTCATCAAAGAGTACAGTGTAGCAATCAACATTCTTCAGCTCATTTATAAGAATCCCTTTGAAGTATAGTGCCAATCCAAAGGAGCCCAAATAGGCTCACTTTGTGGCACTACAAAAAAATTGTCTCGCTATACAGCTATCAGCAAACATTTTGGAGAACAATTTACTAATCCCTTCACAGGAGTTACATGAATAATTACTAGTGATGCACTTCAGACTCCAGAGAATTTCAGCATCAAGCACATTCCTTTTGACCAGATAAGAAGACAATGTTACCTCGGCCACTAAAGTTTCTGTTTCACATGGGGCACACGATGTTGAAGGAGTATTTACACCAGATGAATTAGATGTTGATGTCTTTGGAAAAAGAGAACTCAGGGCATGAGACTGCTTTTTTGTTTTACCTTTCTTTGATGTGTGATTTCAGAGCAGATTCTTCCATTTTCGCGATATCGATCTCCTTCATGCATAATCGGCACTTGGCTCTGAACTTCTTTTCGGGCATCGATAAAATCCATTCTTTATAAGCTTGATTATCCATCCATTGGGGATTAAAATAGCACTTCCCAGGCATAACTAGTCTAAACTACATAACACAAATACGAAGCCGTGCCTTTGCGAATACGCTTTACAATAAAGTTTTGAAATGACGCAAACGTAAGGACAAGTGCGGATGGTAAAACGGCAAATTTATTGAAAACTACAAGGTACATATTGTTACGAAATTCGAGAGTATTCCAGTTTCGATAAGAAAAAAGAAGATCTAAGCATATGCGACAGAAGATGAAGTGGAGTCTCGCCCCGAACGCATTGATTGTCTGCTGTGCTCCGCGCGCTTGGCAGACACCAAGACGCTAGGCCCGGTTAGAAACGGTGGCGTTAAAAACCACGTGAGAGAGCTCGGGAACAAAACAGAAAGAACGAGAAAGATCCGCGGGTGTTTTATAAAAAGGGCCGCCGGCAGTATTGGACAAATTCAAGGACCTATCAAGTTTTTCAAGGACCTAAGACGTTTTTCAAGCACTTTCAAGGACCTAAATTTAGCAAAAAAAAATTCAAGGACTTTCAAGGACTCTCAAGGACCGTGGGAACCCTGGGTTTGTAATTTGCATATTTTTCCTAAGGAAGGATCCAAAATTGCCAAAAACATCTTGATGCAATATTTGAACGGCCCCTTATGTCATGTAAATCATACTTTCCAACTCTTACCCTTGTCAAAAAAAGTTTTTTCCTAAAATGGTAAAGAATTGCCATATCAACGAAGATCGTAAACTAGTGTTTCATCGTAATTTGGTCAACGCTTCATCAGAGAGCCAGCAGGCCTACAATAATTGTGCTTAAATTATGTAAATGGTAGTCAAAATCATTTTAAATCACATTTATTCCAATAAAGCATGAATATATTAAATTCTGCTACCACATTAAATAAGATATAAGCCCTTCCATAAAATCCGGAAGAGTTGGTTGGTATAATGTAATGAATACTTCAATGGTGTTACAAAGCTGCAATTCAACTCTTTTTTTTCCCCAGCTGGTAGAAATAACTTAAAATTTTGTTAAAGAAATTAAGTTTTATTTTTAAATAATATAAATAAGTAACAATCACATGAATTTGAACAAAAATCACATCATTACGCAAGCTTAATTATGAATGGCAAGCTTCTTTTTTTTCCAATAGAAAGTCAATAACATGTAACATTCAAATTTCATTCATTCAAAAATATACGCCATTTTTTTAACAAAGAAGAAAGAGATGGAAATTTGAGATCATTCGTTGATTGAATCAAGTAGTCATTCGTTTCTCATTTCCATGACAAACAAACATTAAAACATGTAGTAAAAATGTACAAAACATGTAATAAAAACACACACACAAAACATTAAATACTTGGAGATACTTTTATTGCTGAGATGTGAACTGAAAATGTAGAATAGTTAAACAACTTCGTTGGCAACAGATTCATTAAATTGGAATTCGACACCACTTATAATTTTTTAAATCTAAATTTTTTGGTGTCCGTTTTTATTCAATTTTATCTTTAATTATGTAAATGGCATAGATGTAATTACGGTTCAGATTTCACCAAAGCTTTCAAACTATTTTTTTATTTTTTTTTTAAATTTTAAACAATAAAATATTTTTTCAAGAAAAAAGAAACTAAAAAAAATTTCTGAAAAGAAACAAATATTTATATTCTTAACTTAGAAAAATTTTTCTGGGGGGGGGGGAGGAAAGAACGCACAGAAATTTAATTATTTATGTTATGTATATTTTAATAAATACTTTTTATTTTGTCAATTTTAAATTTAGATTGTCTTTATAATATACATGTATTAATCAAGTTTCATGTTACGTATATTACACTAATATTTTTTTCTGATTTCATTTTTGAATATCTTTATAATTTACAAGTTAGTAATAAAACGCAACATTAGAATGTAATAAAATGAAATACACAAGGCGAACAACATAATTGTTCTTTTTCTTTCATGATTTGAAACATTATCAATATAGTACACATAATAGAATAGGGAAATTATGTCATATAAACAGTTCCAATTTCAATATTAACTCCTCGAATTTACTTCATTTCAAGATGAAATTTAATTTTCATTAACTATCTTAGTTGAATCTATTTTAGAATAATCAAAAATACTTTGTTTAATTATAAAAACTGTTACAAAGTAATGTTTAATACACATCTATAATAAACACAATTTTTAATTTACTTTTAATTTAAAATTTTAATCATTATAAAAGAGGTTTCATTCTTTAAAAAAGGTAATCGGAATATTATAAAACCAATAATAATAATTATCAATTATTTAAATATAATAAAATTTTAATTAGAAAAAAAAAATATTTTTAAAAAATATTTTAAATAAATTCAATAATTTATATAAATATCTAAAGTTTTATAACAGCAATAAATATCTTTAAAAATAAAACAATAACATAAAAGCAATTTAATTTAACTATTCTTTTTTTTATCACAGAAATTGAAAATTTTGTTTAGTTCACAAAATTGACTAGCTTTCTATAACTAAATATACATAAATTTCTAAATGAAAACCTATAATTCTAGCAACATTTACTCTATTAAGTTGTTAAGATGGCTAACTTTAATACTATAATTATTCCCTGTCTATATTTACATAATCAATTAATTAAATTCTATGATTAGTTAATACTTTATTTAAAGCAATCACACAGCTAAAGTGAAGGCCTTATCACTTTTTATCAGGATTCATTATTACATTGCAAAATATTTAAATATGTATCTCCTTCAGGATTGCATTATTAGAAAGTAAAAGTCATAAAAAGTATAAAGTAAATGTGAGCAAAAGGAATGTTGATTGTGAAAGCTAACTTGTAAAAATGTCAAAATTTAATTTATTGTTAATGCAGTAAAATTTATTAAATTTTACATCATAAACAGTTAAATTAAAGTCATAAGTTACAATTATGCTTTGTAACAGTGATGCACAAACTCTCAATCTTAAGCAAGGCATGAAATTAACGATTAGTTTGTAAGGGTCCACTAAAATTTGACTAGAACTACCATGGAATAATTATCAGTGATCTCTTGGATTAACAATCAGTATGGGACATGGTAGCCCTTCCGGCCTGGAGGGATCAGGTTTTGATTCTCGACTCTGCTAAGACCTACCATTTACATGCGATATACGTACTCGTAAAATTTGTGGAATAGAAAGTCCTGTGGTTGGTCGCTGAGCAACACCATGAGTACAAGGATCAGGCGAAAATCTTCTTCCCCTTCAGATCTATGTCTACATTTGAGTAAGGGACTTTGATTGAGTGGCGCTGCCCTCTACCCGTGGAGTTTTGAGCTAGGAAGTACTTTCACTGTTGTGGTGCTCTCTCATCAAACAGAAGGCGCACCTTCCTGACTTAATTCACAAAATGCCAAGGAGTAGCCAAGTGTCATTAGAAACAACATAATCTGTGTAAAGGAGGAGTATTCTGTTTTGGTTATTTGATTTTCAGTTTTGTGTTCTAATTTGCGTAATTGTCCGAAATTCTTTCATCCTAAATGTGAACATTTTATTCTTCGTATTGTAATTTTTCATTTGAATTCAGTTTATCAAAAAAAAAATGTCGAACAGATACACGTTAACAGAGCCATGAAAATGTATAAGGATTAATTATATCTTTCAGTTATTGGTTCTTTAAAATGGTTCTCAAATTTACTTAATTTATATTCCAGCTTTTAAATAATATGTTATGCCCCCTCTTATTTTTCTATTAGTGAGTGAATTAATTTTTCAATTAATAGAGTTGTCTGTCAGATGTCTATTTCAGTAATTTCACCTACTCATTACTCAAATTTTATGCAAGGAAGAAAAATTAGTTCTTTATCTGCATCATACAGTAATAATATAAAATAATTTTCTATAATCTAATATTTTTTACTAAAAAAAACTTATTTATTATTTTTTAAATTATGTTTTACGTTTAAACATCTTAAATTCAAGGAGGAAAGTAGTGCAAAATTTTTTTAAAAAAAATACTAACAGTTCTAGGCACTAAGCCAAAGAGGCATCTAATTTGATGCATAAAGACACTAACCTTAAATTTACAATATTAAATTCGATTTTTTAACAGATAAATATGATACTCAAAAGAAACAGTTGATGAAAAATAAAAGTCAATTTTAAAACGAATTTGATTATGAAGATTTAGGTCATTAAAACTTAAATATTCGTTAGATTCAAGAAAAAGGTAAGAATATTTTGGTGAAACTGAATATTTTTAAATCATAGATTAATTTTCAATTGTATTTACATTAAAAAAAAATGAATTTAAAAAAAGAATTAATTTAAAATAATTTATTTTTTTTCTTTTCTTTTATAATTTCTCCTCTTTCAGGGATAGGGATACATAAGTAAAGAATTTTTCTTCTACGTCATAACACGTCTGCACATTATTGGTTAAAATATTTGATCATTATAACTTAAAATTAATATTAATACAGTTTGATTAGAATAAATATTCATAAATATTCATAAATACACACTGTTGGCTAGATAATTCTGATTCTAATAAGAACAGGTGAGCAACTTTTTCAATAAATTTAATAATTTCATTAAACTTAATTTTATAATTTCATTAACTTTCATTCATTTAAAGTTTTTCAATAATTTTGAGTGGTTTTCAGCGTTAGAAGTTTGTGCATCACTGACTTAGATAATGTCACGTTATCATATCCCTGAGTAAAAGAATATAATGATATAATAGTGATTTGGAGTATTTGTTGCAACATCTATATAGCAAAAACCTTGATGCAATAAATAAATGTTTATATATATTGAAAAGTTCAAAAATCAAAACAAATACATAAGAAATGACTGTGAAAAAAATCAAAATTTCTTGTGGCATAAGGATAGCTAAAACAGCATAATGTTTAATTAAAGCAAAAATTCACAAGTAAAATTTAGTAATTTAGCTGATAAGAAGATAGATAGAAAGATAGATAAAAACTATCAAAATTCATAAAAAAAATTAATAGTTAAAAGAAATATCTAAAGTAATTTCATTTTAAAGGAAGAAATTAATATTATAGCTCTTATGCTTGATTTTTGTTTATCGTTATAATAGTGCAAATCTTTTATTACATTATTATTTTATACATTTAACTCTTTATTATACTTGGCAAAAAAATTTTACGTACAAAAAAAGCAAATATAGTCATTAAGCACTCATTCGAACTATAGCATCAAAGTTTTTGTTTTAAATGAGCTTTAAAGCTATACTTTAATTTCTAATGTATAATATAGAGTATTAGGCAACAAATGTGTACTAAAGATACTCGATATTAGTGATCAAAATTAGAAGGAAAAAGTTATGTCTAAATAATTTTAATTTAATTTTGAGTCACGATTTGTTTGCATTTATATAAGTTTGAAAACTGTGATAAGGTCTTAGTTTTTTTTCCTTATGCATCTAATGAACATCAATACACTGATTTCATTCCGACTTTTAGGTTCAAATCAAAGGAAGTACTTAATGTTTCTAAATGAGAACTAGATATAGTTAGTGCCAGTATATAGTTGGTGCAATGTGACAGAGCTTTAGATCTAGATTAATTAAAACTAATACTAGGTCAGCTATCAAAATAAAAATAGGTACTTGTGTTTTTAGGTATTGCAGTTGTGCTTGAAGCACTGGTTCAAATAACAAGAATAGGTACTAACTTTACCAAATGAGGGGAAAAAACAACGACAACAAGGCACTTAGTATTCATAGATAAAAGTATTAAGCAAGCAATGTGTGCAACAGTGAAACCAATTGAGTTGGACGCCAGGTTACATAGATTTTTTAAATTATTTTAAGCTTCTTTTTTTCTCTCCCCTAATAGTAAGCATAATTAAATGCACTTCACGTCATTCCAAGAAAACATTAAGATTAACAATTTAATTTCAAAATATAACTAAATTGTATTAATAAGTAACACATAAATAAAAGTGCATGTACAAAAGGTAGTGCAATATACAATCTCAGTAGCAATTATAAAACACCTAATGAATTGAAAAATTATCTAAAATATGACATATTTCGAAATAAGAACTTTAAAGCTACATTTTTTAGTAAATTTCTGATTTTTTCTGCAAAATAAATAGATACCGTATATTTTGGTATATAAGTTGACTTTTCAAAACTTCAAAATTTTATGAATATCAGGGGATCGATAGATACACTGGTAATAAAATTGGGCATTCGTTGACTGTGAAATATCGATGAATTATAAGCAGTGAGATATATATGAATGACTCTATCAATTTACCCATTAAAAAATCTATTGTTAATATGCTATATATATATTTAATTTTGTATTTTCCCTCATATTTTTTTACATATAAAGGTTTTTTTTAGAAACAATACTTTGCGTTCAGAAAAAATTATTCTGTTTCACTTGGGGCTTCATAATATCTCAATTTGTGAGCAAATGTATCATATCCAAAAAAAAAAACAAAAAAAAAAAAACATGAGAAATATTTTTAACTTAAGAATTTTTTTGTAGACTTGATAATTTTTTTTTAATTTTAGAAATATTCATACTTAGCTTTCTCAGCACTCGAGTAATACATCTGATGTACCACAGATTTGCTATATCGTAATTGAAAATAGGGGGTCGACTTACATAACAAAATTTACGGTATATTTCAGAATCAATACAGAAAATTTTTTTAAAACTAATATTAGAATTTTACAAATTTATTTAAAAATGCATAAATTATTGAATGAATTTGCATGTTTTGTGAAATATACATGATAGAAAGCTAAATTTTAAACAAGCAATCAATAAAAAATAAAACTAATGTTTTTAACGATGCTTGAGATGCCTTTGCAAAAAGCATGACATGAAACAAATTTAAAGTTTACAAAACAATGCCTCACTAATGTTCACAGCAATATTAAGATAAAAAAAATTACAACGTTTGTGTTTAAAAGTATATAAATAAATTCAACAATGTTAAACTAACAATAGAATTGTATCTCATTAGAAAACATATAAACAATGTAATAGCATGTTAATGTAATAATTCCAATCAAAATGCATAATAATTTTATTAATACAGTAGCCCCTTCTGCATTCAGGCGTGCCCCTTTTTCATCTCCCTAAACTTCTAAATACAATAAAATCAAGCCTTAATGGACCAATACTGCTATATAAGTGGCATAGCACTTCTGCTTACTGTTTGCAATGTTGCATTTCAAAAATCATTTTACAAGTTTTTTATTTATTATTGTTGTCAGATTTACAATGAATTCAATCATAATTAAATATAAAATTATGTTCACCATTATAAACAATTATCATAACTATACCTGGAAAACTTGAAATAGATAAACTTAAATTTTTTCCCGAGCCGTTAAGGGTTTAATGTAAGTCAATTAAAATAATTTTTTTCCAAATGAAAAATGATCAGCTGTACAAGATCCAAAAATGCAACAGTAATTGGATAATATCAGCTGCAATAATGATGAAATGAGAGTCGGAAATCTTTTATCGGATGTTAGAAGGGGTATCAAATAATCAGAGTTTCTCTGTATTGAGGTTTATTCTTGTCCATTGTTATAGAACGAGGGGCTACTGTAGTTTCACATTATCATTTTAACAAAACTTTGGTTATTAAGCATTTGAAAATAGAATGTACAGTAAAATATAAAACAGCAAATTAAAACAGAAAATATGTTTTAAAACAATACTTTTCTTAAGATTTCAAGAAATGAAAGGCATGATTGATATGGATAATAGAAGAAAATATATCTTTGAAAAATTTCATTTCTACTTTGATGTCAAAAAGCAGATCGTTAAAAAATAAAAATAAACAGATTTTTTTTTATTAACGGCTCAAATTTCGATGTATCATCCACACATACAGATAAGCCTATAAGGTAGCAAAATGCACAAAGTGAATGAACTATATACTTAAAAGGCACTTTCAAATTTATCATAACTATTTACAAGCACTGATTAAGAAGTAAAGATCATGTATCATTCAAGAGGAATTTCTTTTTCTTCTTTATACCAGTATTTCAATACAAATGACTTCATTAGGAGTTTGCTTATTTCATATTCCCAACAACACTTATCTTTACACAGTGCCATTTCATTCAAGGCATAATAATCAGGATTACTTCAAGATAAAACTATCTGTACATTATCAACCAAAATACAATAAATCTCATTAATTATAATCAGTTTAAGTGATGCATTATTTCTTACTATCATAGTATATGATTACATTCTTAACCATCCTTACCTTTTTTTGAAATTCTTTAATGTCATGCATATTAAATTGGTTCATTATTTCTTAATACATCCTTCTTTGAAATAATGGAAAAAAATTGAAAATGATGACCTAAAAGATTTTTTTCCTTCCTAATAGTTACTAAAGTGCTTTTTTCGTATCAATTCCGTTTCAAATACATTGAGGTTTGGAGTTAAAATTGCTACTTAGAAACAAAGTCAAAAGATAATAACATATTTTTCAATATTTTAACCCGGGTTAAATTTGAAGCGAAAACTAGAGTTAGAATGAAATGAAATGTAAAAATCCTTTGCCCTATAGTTTTGGCTTACAAAAGAGGTTGTATTTATAAAAACTGCTCACGTTTTTTATAAAAAGTTAAATTTACCACTCAAGTTAAGGGCATGTGAGCAAAAATAAATAAATTAAAAATTTAATAAAACAGTAATAATAAATAAATACTACGAAAAAAATAAATACATAAAATATAACAAAATAAATAACAAAAATAATAGTAACAAAAATAAATTTTGACATAACAAAAATTTAACAAATATTCTAGGGGAACAAAGGCTATTGATTTTCTGCGCTATTAATGTAGAATTGAATTAGATAAATAACTAATAATTGAGCCCAATATCTCAGCCAATTAAAATTATAATTAAATTTCAATTTGCTGAGTTTCATAAGTTCAACAAATTGAATTCATATAAGAAGCACATAGTTTTAAAAAATACATTAAACAGCTATCAATAAGCATATCTATTCAAAATTTCTACCTATTAAATAATTTCTAACATAATTAATGGACAAATGAGCCCATCGCCTTTGTTTTTCATAATAAAATAGATTTTGAGAATTCAGATAAACTGATATTGAAAAAGTTATTGTGAAAATCCTTTAATTATCAGTAGAAATAATGCAGCAACAATTATTTTATGAAAATTCATCCTAAAAAAATATCATACTCTCTTGCCACTTTTCATTGCAGATAACAAGCCTTAAACTGTTTCATTCCTATGCAACACTAGAAACTTTCAATATAGTCATAAAAATATTAACATTTCCCTGAACATTGACAACTTAATGTGCAACTGTATTACAGTGTGTTCACATGCAACGTTAAATAATATTAGCTTTAAATTAGGAATGCCAACCTCGTACAATTGCCATAAAAGCAAATTTCTTTTACAGTGCAGAAAAAAAAGAAAAAAATGTTTAATACATTTTTTAAAATGCTGTTGGTTATTTAAGCTACTTTTAAGTTATGCTTAGATAATTATAAAATGCTCAATATTCTATATGCCAATGATAATAATTTGTCACTGAGACTAGAAAGATGAAAATAAGACAAATAAAAACTATTTAAACTTTAAGGAATAATTTTCAACATTGTTCAAAATAAAACTGCTGACTGAGATAGGATAACAAATTTTTTCGATAACCAGAAAACGGTATCACTAACAGAAAAACAACTATTAATCCTTATGGCAATTGTTTAAAGATTCATTTCCATATTATTCTTTTCATATCATTTCAAGATTCAATTTTATACTATAATATTTCAACATCTAATAAGACTTTTAACGAAAATAAAAAGTTTCCAAACAACTTTTTACCTTTCTTTTTAAAAGAGGAAAAAGAAATACAAAATACATATAAACAAAATACAAACACAAACATATGTATGTAATTTAAATTAAAATTTTGAGTCAAAAATTAGTACCCAAAATAAAGTTTTGTTATTATTTTTAACAAAAATGCTCAATTTTAGAGATTACAATCTTTCTTCCAGCAAATTTAAAAAAATTCCAAGGTTGAAAGAAATCGCATAGTACGATAATTTAAAGAAATTAAAAAAAGCAAGTTATTTATGTAAATAAAATTTTATGAAATCTTCGTAAGTTGGCATTCCTTCAAAAAATCAAAAATAAAGTAACAGACAAAGACGTTAACTAACATAATGCTACAAGGTTATTTACATGATTTTATTAACGTGTTGGTCCATTAAAAAAAAAACACGTTTTTTTTTTAAACTTAACTTTTAAGTACAATCTTTACACTTTTCTTAACCCATATAAGCAGATTCAAAATCTTAACTAAGAATCCACTAAAGCACTTGTTATATAATTAAGAAAACAATACAATATCATTAGCCTGCTCTTTATTATTTTACTCTGTATATATTTAATTAGAGAAAACTGTACATTTTTAAAATTTTTTTTTTTAATTTGTCATGCTCTTGACACTAGTTGGAAATCTCTCATAACTAATGAAAATTAGTAAATACTAAATCTTTCTAAACGAATGAGATTTAAAATGTTTTTATAACTTTGAGTATTCTAGTTTGATTATGAATCAGATATATGCACTAATTCATGAAACAACTATTATTTAATGCAACTGCGCAATAAAAAATTCTATTCTTTCGCATAATGCCTTTTCAAATAGAAACATCATTGCATTATAACAAACAAACAAAAAAAAACAAGCAAACATGAATTATTTATTATTCTATTAATAGTATTTCTTTGATTCGGCAATAATTTGAATCAGTTCTATTCTACTCCTTAATAATTAAGAATACTTATTATTTAGTTGTTAGTTAGTGACAGATTTACTTTGTAAATGAATTTAAACAAATTCTATTACATAAAGATGCATTAAATGCTTTTTAAAAATAAAATAAAAAACTTTTCCCAACCAGAACTTAAAAATGGCAAATGATATTTTTTATTGAAAAAAGGCTAAATAAAAAAAAAAATTTGCAATTATACCAATAAGCTGATAAACAAGTTATCTATACTAGGCTTCTAATCAGGGTAACCTGTTTCATACTCATAGTTTTAATTGTTAAATTAAATTGATTTGCGATCAAGAAATGATTTTGTTGCATTATCATTGGAAAGTTCATTGCATTTTACACACTAGAAAGTTTGCATTAATTATGAAATAAATGCACTTTCTATCTGTTATCAGGTGTAAACTGTAGAGCCTGGTAAAGACAATGCCAAAATTAGGATTCAATCTGCATCTTTCGTCATTTATGATTAACCCTTTAACTGTAAAGCTACTGGAGCAAATTTGTATAAAATTTCCTAGCTTAGCATTTTTTTTTTCTATAGTACAGAGAAAAACTGGTTTGCTGTGCAAGACAGTAAGTATGTCTCACAGCTAAAGGGATCGCACAAATTAGATAACCAAACATCTCTAAAAACAATGCATTTATGGTATTTTGACTAGTCTGTCGCTACAATTAAAAATTGCATAGTCAAGAGCAGTAAGTGAGCACTTTTGCACCAAAAAAAAATTTGTAAAATTAATTATAAACCATCTTTTCATTTAGCCTCACCAAATTCATTAAGGCAAGACATTTCCTCCAATAAAATATACAATAATTATTGAGCTTTCTTAATTTAAGCATAGATCACACTTTACGAATATGTTTACTTGCTGTTAGCCTTTTCAGGCCAGAACAGTTGTCATGAAGACCTGGGATTGTCCCGATTAGGTGATCTTCTCTTTGGAGATGGTGGAGGTCCATATCTTCTACAAATTCCACCACATGGTTCTTTGGTTTTGGTTGTAGCATGATAAATGACGAGTAATTTCTTGCATTCCTTTTCATCGATTTGAAAGGTTTGTTTAGGGTACCGCTCTCTCAAGCGTCGCCTCTCCTTAAAATATAAGGGTTAAATTAAGGATTATATGTTAAAAGTTCAAATGGAATAAAATTTTATTTATTTTGAGGCATGAATGCAGAAAAGGCAAAAACAAAAATGATTTCTCTTTATTTATGTCTAAAAGACTTTATGTTAATAAAGCAAATATGTGAGGGTGACCATCAGCCAAGTTTTCTTCTTTTGGAAACAAAAATTCCTCTGCTATTTTTAGAAATCCTTTCAAACATAATAAAATGTGCCTTTCTTTGACAACATATCCATCAGGAGAGCTTACTGATGAAATCAACTTTTAGTGTTACAAATGCAGTACTTCATTTCATTTGCATTTTGGAAATACAATTTGGTGTTTCCAACATGTTCTGATGAGGGTCTGCAAATTTTAAAGAGGTAAATAGGTCTGTTTAATCTTTTGTGGCCTATGTGGGCAATTCCATACAAATATTATTTTGAGGTAGTTTTAACTTCTTTAAAAAGATCAGATGCTGGGAAGTCATCAGATTAAAAAATCTCAAACTATAGATTTTATACATGAAGTAACCAATACATATAAGACAGAAAATTGGCAAAAATATTTATTAAAAAAAATTGGCAATAATTTATCCAGATTACAGTCTGTATAAATGTAAGAACTCTCTTTTTCTACTATTCAAAAGAGGAAAATAGTTAAATTTTTTGAAAATAATGTTACTAAAATCCCATTAAATAAAATACAATACCTTTTACAATAAAATATGCATTATTTTATGAGTAATATGCTTGAATATAAAGGTCTCTAAAGAAAATGTACTTTCAGATTTTATGTTGCTACAACCTCCTTCTAATCATAATTATTTAATGAATTACTTTTATTTTACATTTGTTTAACTTCTAAGATCACAAACTAAAATGTAGCCAGGCATGAAACTTTTGACATTACATAATACACGACTTTTTTCTAACAATTTTTCTAATATATTAATTTTTAACATAGTAATGCCGATTTTTATTGATATATATTAGTCTGATATGTGCATTTGCTTAAAACGACAAACTGACTTTTGTGAATTGTCATTATAACGGTCTTCATTAAATAAAATAAGGAAAATTAATAAAATAAAAATACTACATGAAATAAGGGGCAGATAATAATAAAAAGTCAGTAAAAAAAATATATGTAAAGCAAAACCTCGGTTAGTCGCTGGAATTCAAACTGATGAAGTTGCTTTTGGAATCCACAATTTGGATTAGCAATGCTCCTCGCACCTCTCAAGATTTTTAAAGAATCCTTGCAAGACAGGGATGTGATGGACATAAGGTAAGCTGTAGCAATTGTCACACTGCGAGAGACACCAGCAAGGCTGTAAACATGAAATCAAAAGTTTATTAAGGATTGAAATAACTAAGTAAGCAGTTAGAAACACAATACTAATAAATAGTAAATAAAATGTTTTGGTGTGTTATACATTTAATTTCACTGACAAATTTTTAAACAAAAAATTATGACATTAAATTATATTTTTCTTTCAATTTCGTTAATCTTATCAACTAAATTTGATGCATTATAATAAAATAAAAAATAATAACATTTGATTACAAAATATTATTCAGCGAGAATGTTTAAAAGTAATGCTCTGAAAAAATAAATAGATTACTACTATAAATAAATTATTGCTACTATGAATAAATAATTAAAAAAAATAATAAATGGATGGAAATAATATCTTCTAATAATATATATATATATGTACAATAGGTTCATCGTTCATAATTTAAAAATGAAATATGTGACCAAATCTGTTTAACACTAACATTTTAATAAGAAAATTAACACAATGACTAGAAAAATAGGAATAAAAAAGTAACTAAGAATTAGAAAAATAAATGTATAACAAAATAATAATTAAAAGTATTAGGCCCTCAACACATCTTTATGACAAATTCATTTACTTTAAGATATGATCATTTTGCTATTAGAATTGTTTTAAAATTATATTCTTCTCTATTCCATATTTATAACTAAAATAAAAAAGAAATAATTGCTTAAAAGTAGCTACCAAGAAAAACTATTTTTAAGTGATTATGCATTTCCAAATATAAGTTCACCTATGTATAAGCCTAGAGTATGCAATTCACTCGAATTGATTTACAGTATACTCTCGGTTTTTCAACGTTGAAAGGACGCTAAAAGAATTTGAGATACCAAGTTTTTAAGGTAGGAAATTCTAAACTAAATATGTTCTAAAATATTACTCTAAAAAGTAGAGCCCTTAAACATAAGAATAACTACTATTAAATAAGTATATATACATATATATATATGTAATGATAGCTGACTATAAATCTAAATATAGAAATGATAATTTTATTTTTAAAAGACAAAAATAATTATGCATTAAATTGAAAAGAATTGGTTTACAATAAACTTACATTATGATTTTTTCGAAAAAATCTTGCATGAAAGAAATGTTCTAAATGCATTTAATAACAACTATTATCCTTTTTTTAGCAGCATATTAAAATACCAAAAGTGCTAAGACACAAACAATTTAAATCCTAGTTCAGGATTTTTTTTGAAATCATAATAAAATAATGAGAAATATCCCGTAATATAAATTTGATATTTTCATCTTATTATAAGTAGAAAAAAAATTCAGACAAGTAATTACATGAAAGTTGTGTTAAATTCAACTATCAGACTTGTTTTCTAGTGTAAAAGTATCAATAGGCAAAATTTTCTTTTCTACATGAAGTAATGGTCCCAAAGGTTTTAGAGTCTGTATTTATATATAGAAAATAAACATTCTGAGGGTTATTCACTCACGGAATGAGTCATTAATTTCATAGCCTCTTGTGAAAATTTAAGTAAAATGAAATACAAAAAAAATTGAATTCCAGACAGGTGAGGTCTCTAAAAAACACTCATTCAAATGCATATAAAAAGTAGAGTCCTAAAAATGGGGCCATGGATGGATGATGATGATAACTAAAAAAAATTTTTAAAAATCATGCACATAAGAAAACACAATTCATATAGCCTTTTATTGAAATTATTGCTCATAAATGTTTCTGTCGATCCAACAAAATGCACAAATATTATTTACAAAAATTAAACTAGATAAAATAATTACAATTAAGACAAAAAAAATATTCATTTACTCCAGTTCATTAGGGTCTTCATGAACTAGATTAAAGTGACGCTAAACACAAATATTATTTTTGGCATAGCTATCATATAAAATTTATTAATTATACTTGACTGAGGACTTAACTAAGAATTTCGATAAATGTAAATATTGTAATTCATTGATGAATTTAAATTTTAAGTTTTTTCTGGCAATATTTACTTAATTATGATTTGTTTGTTAAAACTCAATAACTTTTTATGTGATATTACGCATAAACATATTATTTCTAGTCTGTATTAAATAAAATATATCAATTTCAATTGAATAGAAAAATTTACAATGAAAAATAAATTGGCAAGCCACCAAGTGAGTTTGTTTACAAGTACCTAAGAGACTGTATCTGTCACTTAGTGATCATAAATAAGTTTTTATATCATAAATCTTAAATTTAAACTAAAAAGAAGATTTTATGAATAGAGCTAACTTTTCGCTTATTTCACAAAGAGGGCTGGCTTCAAATGTAAAAGGAATAGAAAATACATGAAAAAATGTTTGTAAAAAGAAAAAAAAAATTATAAGAACTTTTACTTTTGGTACGTGAACTAATAAAAACTACAAAAAGTGCATTTTGCAGAAGTTTTTTTTTCAATCAATGCGAAATAAATAAAAATAAAAGAACTGTGGATTTTGTACCAAAAAAAAAATTTAATGAAACATAATTTTTGAAATTTTTTTTTTAATTTATTAGTAGAATACTTCAAGCCAAAAAATTAAATATTTAAAGATATAAAATCAAATTTATTAATTAAATACTACAATGATAAAAAAGGGGGGGGGAGGAATAATTTAACAAGATTTACACAAGTGTTCAAAAATTAACCATACTTTAATGCTGGATATGTGTCAAAGTACACTTAAGATTTTAACACAAGAGTAATTAGTTTTAAACTTATATTTTATTTCTTAATGAAACTTTGGAGAGAATAAAATCTTTACTTCATTTTTCAATTGTTTATATAACATACCATAAGAGAGGGGGGGTGAAAAGAGGAATTTGCCAAGGACTCTGTTCCGACGACATTTAAAACTTTTTTACACATAGAATATTTATTTTACTATTTCTTTTTCATTTTATAGATAATATAGAAAAGCAATTAATAGTCTAAAGGCTTTGCACAAAAATATTTCCCATAAATCAAAACTACAAAAATTGGAAAATAAGATTTATTTTAACTTCTTTAAAGGGTTATTTATGTGGGCCCATAAAACACAATATTAGATGTTGTGCATATAAAATATAAAAATTAAATGATAGGAAAAATAAAAAGGGAAAAAAATGTTAGGTTAAAAACTGAGGATTTAAGATTCATTTTCTTAGTGATACTGTCGAAAAACATATTAAAAAAACCCAGAAAAAGTTTTAGCTTCAGACCTGAAAATTCAGAAAAACCACTCTGAATGCTAAAAAATATGAGGATCAAAAGTAAAGAGCATCTAAACATCATCTACTGATTCCCTTTGAGCTTTACTTGTTTCATTTACTTATTAATGCTTCATCTTTAGCTTTAATTAGGTTTTTAAATATCAACACCCTAACAACCACCTTGCAAAACAAGCTGATTTTTCTCTAATTGATGTTTTTGAAACTTTACTTGAGGTGTTGCATTTTTAGTTGCTAAATAAAAAATAATTTTTATCTCCAAATACAACAAAAAGGGGCCATGTTTGGGTGATGTTGATGCATAAAAAAAAACCATGCACATAAGAAAACACAATTCATATAGCCCCAAATAGCTCATCAAATTAGAAAACTGTCTGAATTTGTCAAATGTCAAAGTTTTTCCTGGATGGTAAAAATCTTTTGGAGGTCACAATGGTACTTTTTATTTATGCCGGTCGCACTAGAGTTGTACAATGGGCCATTGGCGACATTCTAGAAAGCATCCCTAAAGATGAACCAGAGACAACATACATACGTCACATCCTGTTCTACAGGGATGATGTACACGGACAGATTTTAGAGTGCACCAGCCACCATTTCGCACACAGGAAGTCTTTGGCCAGTGGGAATTGAACTCACGACTTCTTGATCATGGGTCCAACGCCCTACTAAGTCTGCTATCCCGGCCTCTCGAAGGTCACGATGATCCCTCAACATCACACCATGACTATACATAAATAATGATACCTAAAAGATATCAATATTGGTATTAAATTCAAAAGAAATGAATTATTACCAGTGAATGAGTACTCCACCACCATTTGTTCGAGCTCTGTGAATAAAATCATTGCATCGTGAAAAGAACTGCTTGAGATCTTGCCCTGGAGTATCAGCAGCTTGTATACATAGGTATTCTTTATCCTAATAAACACAAACCATATTAGTTTGAAAATAAAAACAAGTTTTATGTCACAGTAAAGTACAATTTTTAGAAGACAATATTTTTAAATAAAAAAAAACTGTATTTATAAAATATAAAACTTTTTTAGATTCAATTTTAATGGCCAAGGACATAACATATAACTAAAATGAAAAGTTTTCAAATAGTCATCTCTTACTATTATAAAACTTTAAGCATTAATTCAAAATAATATGTGAAATGTAGTAGCAGGGCCAGCATTTAACACCTTGCCAAATGCGATAAAATTTTAAATTTGGAGAATAAAATTGTGTTTTGGAAAATGATTTTCTCTACTGAAAAGAAATTAAAATAATGTCAAATCATTATTTTTTATTCAATTACAGTAATTTTTGGTAGATGTGCCGTGTAACCAATTACAATTTGGTCCAAATAATATAAGCCTGAAACAAACTATTGCAAAATAGTTTTCTATGGGAAAAAAAATTAATCATAAGAAATTTTTATGATTTGCATTTGGCAAAAACAGAGTGTGGAAAATTGGCAAATATTTTTGATATTAGGCTAATAATTTTAAATCCTTAACGTGGGCCCTGAGTAGGTAGATGCAATGCATTTAATGAGAAAAAATCAAAAAGATAATATCCTTATATCATAAACTGATGTTAATGATAAACTGATGAAAATAACTCTTGTTGGTTAAGTGTTGTAGACAGATCATTGTTTTCTTTCAATTTTAAAATTTAGTAGTAAGTATTTATCCAATCAAGTAACATTTGGGCAAGATTGAACAGACATTTCTTCTCAATTCATAACCTTCTCTTTAAATAAACAGAGAGAAAACTGATTCTTTTTACTTACTTTAACATTAAAATAGCTTTACTTGTAGTAAGTAACTCTTGCCTTAATAAGGTGAGCTTTTGTTTTTATCAAAAGAATTGTGCATTTTTAATATATAATATCTATTCATACTTTTTGAGACAAGTTGTGATGGATCAGTGGCAAAAAGCACAGAGATGTTATCGTGAAGGACTAGGGTTCGAAACTGAGTAGCGGTTTGAAGCCCACTCAGTTTCAGATCAATGGGTACCACCTTGTCAAGAATGTAAAAGCAGGTTGTTGACCACATCCTCACAGCCATGCTCAAAAAAATTGCGCAAACTTTAATATCCCTCCTACCCACAACGGGCTGTAAGGTGGATGCGTCGCTCTTACATTTTTAAATAATTAAAAAAAAAACAATGAATGATAAATTTTTGTCTTTGTAAAACACATTGCCATACCTTTAACATATGTTTTAGCAGATTTCTCTATGCCTTAGTCTAGTTTATAAAGAGTTAACTTCCTTTAAATAAATCTGAATCTTTAAGAAAGATTAGAAGGATAAAAAGGTAATGGAAGAACAAGCTACTTCCTTTTATAAAATGTAGAAACTATTTTATTATTTTTTAAATTTGTTTAAGATATAGAGGTTTATAACAAAAGTACTTCACAGTAAATAAAAAGAAAAACGCCCTCAAATTTCAAAAATTAAATTAATTTGGCTAGTAGGAAAAAAAAGAAGCAAATCACTTTTTTTTTAAAAAAGTTTATGAGTCAAATATCTTTCTTATAAAAATAAAAAAACTTATAAATATAAAGTTACAAATTCAAAAGTTATTAAAAAAATAGGTTGAATTATTATAAATAGTTTACTCAGAAATTGTAGACAGATATACAGTAGGGAACCGATTATCCGGAACGATCGGGACCATCGCTATTCCGGATAACTGATTTTTCCGGATTTCTGAATCGCAAAAAAAAGCCTTTTTTTTCATTGTCAAACTCAACTAAAAAAAAAAATATTTGGAAATAATCTTAAAAAGAAGAACGATGAAGTAATACACTAATGATTATTTCCAAAATGATGGTAAGGTAAACATCTTTCAAAAAAGAAAGAAAAATCCTAAAATCTTATGAGGAAAAAAAATTTTTTTTTCAAAAAAATAACGGGAATATTTATCGAATTTCGTTCCGGTTTTTTGGTTTTCCGGTTTTCTGATTTCCGGATAATGGGTTCTGTACTGTACTTAATAATTAAATCAATAATGCAATGTTAATATTTGTACTTTGCTCATTGATAGATAATTCATATTAGGAAAAAGAACAAGCTCAAATCACAACAAATCAAGGAGGTTATAATTTTATTCAAACTGAAAATTCTTTTTCATCCTTCTTTTTCTTATGAAAATTTTCACTTGAAATTAAATTACAAACTAGATTTCATATTTTAATATGATGCAACTACAATAGAATCCTAAGTATTAGGGATGACCATTTTCTGATTATACTTATAATATTGTATTTAACTCATTTAAAATCTACGCATATCAATAATGCCAGTGTGTAATGCATTAAGCTTGACTACTCTTAAATATGCATATTTTACAGCAATTCTGCTAGACTTTCGAAACTGCAAGTTCTTATGATCCAAGGACGTCCAAATTTCTTACTGAAAACAGATTCCGATCACTACAGACTGTTTTATCTCTTTATCCATCTATCAATATGCACATTCATAATTATTCTTTGCATTGATTGATAAAACAAAGAATCTTAAAAGAACAAAAACAAGGAGAGTTACATTTGTACAAACAAGGCATTCAATTAGGACCAAAACCACTGATCTAACACTTTCATCAATGATAAGTAACAATGTAATTTGATACTCAGAATTATTCAAATTGTATCCCTCAGCTATAAATAAAATTTCTATCTGGATATAGATTTAAAGTTTGGTTAAAATGTTGCCAACATAAATCTGCCAGTGCGCAATTCTTTTCTCCGAGACAGAGAAGTACTAGTAACAAAGGACTGATTTGATGACTTATTTTTCATTACTTATTTTTCTGGTCCACTCAAGGAATTTTTGCACATATTTGATGCATTATAAATTGTAAGCAGAATCACTGTTTTATGTTAATTGTTAAATCAATCGAAAAGATCAATTGTTAATTTTGAAATGTGAAACATGCTAAATTTAAATACTCTGATATCTAATCCCCCAATACGTACTATTGGTATTTTTACAAAAAAAAAAATTATACCAACTCCACAGTTATTTGACATGATTAGACATTAAAATTATTATGAAGAGATAGACAACCTGTAACTCTTGTTTCATGTTCCGAGCACCATCTAAAGACTCTTTTTTACATCAGACTGTTTCCAACATAAGAAAGTAAAATAAAATTTTAAAAAATATGCTACAGTAGCTTTTCTATAAATGGCACATCATGCCATTACTAATGTCAAAAATAATTCACAAATTACACAACAATACATCAACACAAGTATTATTTCTCCTATAATTTAGGACTGCAATAATCTGGCCTGCCCAAAAAAAATTCAGGTTTTCTAGTAGCATCAGAACAAAATGTAAAAAGAACTACTATCATATAAAATTACTGTTAAATCAAAGACAAATAAATCCCCCCCCCCGAATATTGTTTATGTGTGACTTATTGATTTTCATATATTTTGTGTTTTCTGCCATTAACTTATCAATACCTAATTGCATTTTAGTGGTTCAAAAATAGAATAAAACCTGCATAAATTGACCATTTGTATTGTCTTAGTGGTCAACTTACAAAGTGGGATGAGTCATTGTTGTTTTCTTATATCATGTTATTCTTGAGAGTCTTCATTAGAATAACATATAATAAGAATCTTAATTGTCTCCTCATGTGGTCAACTCACAAAAGGGTTTAGGTTAGCTCTTAACACCATAACATAAATACAATAGTGGTTTAAAAATAAAATAAAATCTGTTTAAATTAACCATTTGCATTGTCTTATTGGCAACTTACAAAGTGGGATGAGTCATTGTTGTTTTCTTATATCATGTTATTTTCGAGAGTCTTCATTAGAATAACATATAATAAGAATATACCTTAATTGCTTCCTTGTGTGATCAACTCACAAAAGGGTTTAGGTTAGCTCTTAACACCACAACATAAATACAATAATGGTTTAAAAATACAATAAAACCTGTATAAATTGACCATTTGCATTGTCTAAGTGGTCAAGTTATAAAGCGGGACGTGTCATTGTTTTTTTCTTATATCATGTTATTCTTGAGTGTCTTTATTAGAATAACATATACCTTAATTGTTTCCTCATGTGGTCAACTCACAAAAGGGTTTAGGTAAGCTCTTGACACCATAACATAAATATAGTATAAAATATTATAAACCTTTATAACATAAAAAACTTACTAAAAAGTTGTTGTTTTTTTCAGTCAACTTATGTAGAGTTTAGAATGGCATTTAATAAAATCCATGAATAGATTTGACTTACTTTACTGGTCAACGTACATGATAAACATGTGGTCAGGTTAAAAAAATGTTGCTCTCTTTTAATATATAGAATAAATTTGGTTCTTGATAAAAATGGTCAACTTAGGCAGACAGTCAACTTGACAGTTTTCACTGCATGTAATACATTACAAAATAATTAAAAAATTGTGATGTAGTATATTCAGTGATTCCGCTAGAGTTTGGAAAGAAAGAAAGATTAAAGAAATCAGGACTTTCATAATTCTAGATTTCCTTTTATTAAAAGCAAGTTCCTATTCATGAGTAAAATCTAAATTTTCAATCTCTTTATTCAACCATTTTTATTCACATTCACTATTCTTCTATCTATTGATAGAAAAAAAACAAAGAATTTAAAATGAAGATGGGTCATATTTGAACTATCATGGCTTTCATTTAGGACTAATCAAACATCTGCATCAAGGAAAGACAAAGATGTAATTTGATACTAAAAGCTATTACAATTTTCTCTTTCAACTATTAATAACAAAATACGATTTTTTTTCCTTTTTTTTTATCCTATATAAAGACACATTTTCATTTCGAATAAATTTTTCTTGTGTTAAAGAATTACACTCCCAGGGGATAGGTCATAACTCAATTTATTTGTCTCCTTTACAATTTTTGGCTTATATGACTTGTTATAACATCAGAGTATAAGAGTCTTATGTAATTACATCCAACTTTTAATACAAGTCTTCTTTTTTGTCTCAAGCATAAGGCGCCTCAAAAATTCTTTCTAGTTGGAAAGATATTTCATTACATATTAAAGATATTGTACTTCCAGGGATTGAAATATGATTGCCCCACTTTGTGTACTAGCCCCGAGAGTCTAGATACACTACTGTATCTTCCTCACATATAAGTCATACAAAAAACGTTTTTTTATTGTCCTAATGTCTTGTAATTTTTATATATCACCACAAATTCAATGCTGAATCAACAATAATATATAATTTAGTCTTTGCCTTAATAAAATGCACACAATTGCAAAGAAGTTTCAAAATTGGGTTTCTTTTGCTCTTGTAATTCATAAACTTCTATAAGTATATAGATTCAATCTCAAAAAAAAAAAAATAAAAAATGTTTATTAAAGACTAAAGCATATAATAATTTATAATAAAATTGGATTTAAAACTATTTTAAAATTGAAATATTTTTCAAGGCAAATAAATTTAAAGACAATATGATAATCATAAATTTAGTCACCAACAAATTTTTATCTTAGCTTTGGAAAAATTTTAGAATATCTAGTAATACATCCTTCTTAGATAAAACAGCACACTATAAAAAAAAATAACATTAAATTAATTTTAAGTGTACTTCTGTAATGTTTGGTTCAGCTTAAAGATTATAAAATACACAACATATAAAAATTGGTAAAATTAATTGTATGGTAAAATTAATTTCACAAAACGATCATGCAATATTTTTTATACCCCAAATGCTAAACATTAAGACAATGAACTGAAGATATATTTAAGTAAATAATTTTCTTACATCATGAACTTTTTTTGCATTGTCGTGGATGGATATAATGTGAGTAATGTTATTGGCTCGGAGTTGTTCCTGGTCTTTTGCATCTCTGAAGTTGCCAACATACAAACCAGGAAGAACCTAAAAATAAATAAAATAAGATAATTACAAATCATGCAGTAAATAATTCACTATTTGGAATTACAAAATATATATATAAGCTACAAAACATTGTTTCTCAAATAGCAACATTTTTAGATAAAATAATAAATTTAAATAAACAATTTGATATATTGAATAAGTTTTAGTATTTTGTATAATGAGTTTACAATAATGGCTGATAATTCTATTTATCACTTATTTTTTAAATGAAGTGAAGTACAGATAAAAAAATATTAAGATTTAATGCCAATTTTAAAAAAAAAATTAAAATAGTATTAAGCAAAATATCAGAATTTTTTTTTTTTTTTTTTTTTGTAAATTACAACTTTCATACTCTTTACACATTTTCTACTTTTCTAAATTAGAAACTTTCGAATATTTTTTTTTTCTTTAAGCATATTCCTTAAATCAAATCAGTGGAGTTAATATTTTAAGTGAAAAATTTACAGAAATTAATTAGCACAATTATCTAAATATTGTAACACATACTATTATTAATTCATCATGAAAAATTAAAGAATTCCTTTGAAATAAGGCATTAATTCCACCATGCATAATTTTGTCCCATGATATTAATAATTCTTTATTTTATTGTTAATACATTAAAATTCACTCATTATCAGTTCATAAGCTATATTCTCAGTTACTAAGTTTTATTTTAATTATTTTTCAACCTTACTCATTTTTTTTCTCTTCTTTTTAATCATTTTAATTGTTTGTGCCAGATAGAAAACAAAGAATTTCTATGCATAACTTTTAAAAATTTCAGCACATAAATATAAGAAGAAAAATGTTCGAATAATGCTTACTTTACATTTCATTCAAAAAGCTATGAGAATTTTTAAACTTTCTGATAACTATGTGATAATAAAAAAATAAAAGAATTTACACGCATATTTTAAAAAGAATTTCGTCTATGATATTATTTTTAATTCCAATCTCTAGATAAAAAATTTATGAAGTTAACACAAACTATCGATTCATATACTATTTGTGAGCCCTTTTATTTTCATTTAAACTGATTCTTATAATGTGTTTAATATTACATGAGGAAACAAAGAATTTCTATAGAAAACCGTACATATATGCCAACATCTCCCATTTAAATGAGACATATTTTAAAAATATTTATAAGTGTCAACATATACAGTAAAACTTACAATTTATAACTTTATTTTTAGTTAAATAGGTAAATTTGATTTACAGAGGTTTTAACCACCACTATATATAATAATTTAAAATAAATTTGTAAGACCTGCAAATCAGGCGATGAAGTTTTCAAATGCTGAGAAAATTAAACAAATTAAAATTATATTTTATTTCACTATCACTATAAACATTGTGAGGCATGACTTCTGTGTCACATCTAACTTTAAGTGCAAGAAAAAGTTGTTCAATTATTCTTACTTAGTATATTTTATTCCTATAGCCAAGGAAATTTTTTAATTTTCTAATGAAATTAAAATTAAAATAAGATTAATGAATAGGAGTGCTTAGTTTAATAAATAAAATTTAAATAAATTTACATGAACATTTTTCAGGGAATTTTGTCTAATAAGATTGATAACTGTTTAATCTATTCTCTAAATATATAATGAAAACAAAACATAAGAGAATTTTCAAGCAAATTTTGAAAGGATTTTTATCCAATAATGGTCAACCTATATTAAAATGCATTATGCTTAACTATCAGTTACTGGGCTATTCCTTAGCCATTAAATTTTACTTCAACTAATTTAAACCATTGCTCATTTTTTACAAACACATGATGAAACTAAGAATTTCTCAACAACTTTTATCTATTCTATAATAACAAAACATACAGGAATTTCCAAGCAAATTTTTATCTGTTAATTGTCAACCTATATTAGAATGAATTATGTCTTACTCTCAGTTATTAGGCTATTCCTTAGCCATTGAATTTTATTTAAACTAATTTAAACCATTGTTCATTATTACAAAACACATGATGAAACTAAGAATTTCTTAATAACTTTTATTTATTTTAAGATAACAAAACATAAAGGAATTTACAAGCAAATTTTTAAAGGATTTTTATCTAATGATTGTCAATCTATATCAAAATGCATCATGCTTTACTATCAGTTATTATGCTATTCCTTAGCCACTGAATTTCATTTAAACTAACTTAAATCATTGTTCATTTTTTACAAACACGTGATAAAACTAAGAATTTCTTAATAACTTAAAAAAAAAAAATCCAATGCATGAATGTATAAAAATGAATTGTCAGAAGTATGCTTACTTTGTTCATTCCATTTCCCATGGCCAATTGTTAGTAGGTTTGGACGTCAAATTCAGTATAGGAATTCTTAAAATAATTTGGCAGCTTAACTTATAGCTTTTAAATGGCAATTATCTTCGACAGATAACATCATTGACTACACTAATGATTGTTTCATACACATACTTTAAATATTTTTGTTTCCCAAACAAAAACAGCAAATGTGCTTTACCAACAGTGTGCTCAGCAAATTAAAAATTACTTTATTTCTTTTTAGGGTTGAGCAAAAATATTTGATTGTTTAGCTGACCATCTATTGAAGCCTGAATATTACCACGTAGGCGTTGGACGCAATATAAATCTGCACAAGCACAATATTTTCAACAACGAATATAATTTATAAACACTTAACAATAACTATTAACACTCACAACTGTGTAAATGACAGTTATGGTTTTTCTTTTTAAACTAGAGCACTAAAGCAAAAATGACACGGAACAGTGGAGGGATTTACATTGTTTGAGGTTCATTTTAAGTTTTAGGAAATATTATACTTAGTTTGAGTTCGGAGAGTTTAGAACCGTGACCATGTGACCCATCCTGATCTACGGATCGAGGAATCATTTTTTTATTTTAAATAAGGATAATATTTGTCCTTGCAGACGTTTTTAATCCACACATTCCAGCTTTTTCCACAGGTTTTCCATGCCGATACAAAAGCGAGAAACTTCAACGCCGATATTGATTAAACACAGCTCGCACGATTTAATATTGAAGATACAGAACCTAAACAAATTCCAAAGAAGCAGACGATTTCTTCTGATTGATATACAAAATAATCACTTCACTTCACGTCAATCATTCTCCACTAATGTTTCGAAATTGAAAAGTGACCTTGAAAATTAAAGACATTCCAAAGGATCGATGATCAGGCAGGTTTTGTCCCATGTGTTCTCCCCTAAACGGGCGTTAGCAAAGGCGCAGGAGTTCCAACGACTTTTCCTGATTTTCCTGAATCCCGGGACCAACCAGAAGGACATGCGCGTTCTCGACCAATGCGGACCTTCTGCGGAAGGGCTTCATGTTATGGAAGTTACTTTTTACTCCATTTTTCAAATTTTCATACAACTAAAAGTCCTTTCGTGTCAGTGCTTAATGATTGTTTTAGTCAACCATTCCGTTAGTCAGTCACACTCTAATGAACTGTTAAGGACCATATGTCATCCTACGAAATGTGAAATTTATTTTATTGAAGAAATGGCTTTTTTTTAAAATTTCATTATGGGCTAGAACTTTTTCCAGATCAAATTCTATGACCTTGATTTTTGTTCTCTTCGAATCTAAACAACTAAGTCTGTTTTCGAGAAATTTTACAAAAATAAAATGGATTTTTAGTATTTAATCTTTTCTGTTTACTGTAAGTAGGAAAAAATTGTTTAATATTTATTTTGGAAAAATAAAAGTGAAAGTTCATGAATATTTTCCAATCCCATGTAAAAATTTATGAAATAAGATTTTGAATTTGTATTAAATATAATAATAAATAAATAATCACTTTAGTTAACAAATTTTATACAGAAAGAGCACCGATATTCATATGAAATACATTTTTGTATGAATATCTCTTATTCATATAGATATCCATATAAAATATTTCTGTATATATCTATATGAATTATCGTTGCTTATCAAAATTATTTTTATTAATTAATTTTTTTTAAATGATTTTCAATCTTTCATGAATAATACGTTTCAAATTTACTTTCAATTTCTAAATTTAGAAAAATGAAATCATAGCTGAAATGAGAAAATATACACTGAATAAAATGACCATAGCGCTCCTCAAAAATTAAATAGCTGTCAAAATATGTTGAGAGATAAATACTGATATTTCATTTTTAACTCTATTTTAAAATCAATGTTATTGCTAGTTTTAGGACTAAATATAAACACTTAAATTATTACTTATATTATTATTTTTTTGGGATATCGAACAATATTAGAAATGGTATTCATTCTTATGTTATACAATATTTCACTACGATATCGAACGATGTTCGAAACTGCGTTTTTACGATATCGTTGTTGAGCTCCGTGCCACTGGGATCATATTCAATATTAGAATGAAAAAAAAATTAGTTATTATGTACTTCTAAATATTGATAAATGTATCCTTAATAATAATAAAATGGGTATTTTATTTGAATAAATAAATTCTTTTTTGAAGTAAATCCTCAAACGAAGACTCAAGATATTGAATAAAATTTCCTGCATGACTCATATTCATGTTCAGAACTTAATCTAAATATGACTTTTTTTAAAAAAAAGGTGAATAGCTAACTTTCTTTGCTCCGAGTATTTTTTTCAAGTTTCGTACGAATTTTTTTAAAAATAAATGTTAACAATGATCTTGAAAATTTTATAAACACTATCTATTAATGTTACGAATGATATAGTTAAATCACCAGATTCAATTATATTATATCATCATTTATCTCGTAAGAACAAGACATTCCTTATCACTATAATGTATTTATAAAGAATATACCTATATTATATCGATATGAGAAATTAGATAAATTATATATTTTTTTAAAAACTCGTAACACACACTAGAAAATATCAAATTATACTTACTATAAATGTGTTACCACTTTTTTTCACAAACGTACTTATCACAGCAAAATTCTGCGTATTCGCAACAGTTATCCAAAATTGGTTAAATCATGCGAACGAAACAAATTTAAGTATTTAAAATATTTGAATTTAAGGAATTCAATTTTTCCACTTTGACTTAAATGAAGTGTTAAGAAAATATCAAAGTATAAAAAATTTGTGAAACAATGGTGTACTTAGGGATTAAAAAACACAAAGACTCGGAGTCATAAACAAAGACAAAGTTTTTGAAATAAAAAATAATAACTAAAATTAAAATTTGAAGAGAATTATTTTAATTTTCTCATTTTAGCTACCAAAATTCTCTTGAAACAAGTATATATATATATATATATATATATATATATTACTATATACTATATTAAAATAAGTTCAAAATGTCGAGAAAACAAGGGAAAAATTACAGAACAATGAAAGAAGGGGGAGAATAATAATAATAATAATAACAAAATAAAAATAACTAGAAACCGGAAGAAGAAGAAAAAATAATCCGAAAAAAAGGGACAAAAATTTTAAAAAAATCCGGAAAATAAGGGATATAATGATCTGATGAAAAGATTATATCTTTTATTTTCCGGATTTTTTTTAAATTTTTGTCCCTTTTTTTCGGATTGTTTTTTTTTCTTCTTCCGGTTTCTTGTTATTTTTATTATTATTATTATTCCCCCCCTTTCAATATTCTGTAATTTTTCCCTTGTTTTCTCTACATTTTGAACTTAAATACATATATATATATAAGTTCAAAATGAAGAATAAAACAAAGAATATGTAGTAATATTTATTTATCCAAAAAACAAATCGATAAACTATTTCAAAATTTGATAAAAAACAATGAATACCCAACTAAAATAATAAAATTTTATATAAAATCACTGAATTAATCGTATATTTTTGTGGATATATTTAATAAACATTTTTTTT